ATGGGCGAGAGCTAGTAATCACTTGAAGTGGGTATAACAGGGGTCAGTAATTGGTGTTGGAATTGACTTACCATTTCCACAACCTGTTGCCTCTATCAACTTATTGCCCCATTTTTGCTTGAATTTCTCTGGTAACTACAAATTCATTTCCCCATTCAAATATGTTTGTGTCTCTTTGTCATCGATTATTAATCTTATCTGTGAGGCACATTTCTTTGGATTAAGATTTCAAGTTCTTTTCATTGTCATTGTTTCTTAAAACATTACAAGAAAATGAATGAGCCTATCTTATGACCCTGGAGTGAGAGCACACATCCTCACCTAGGGGCAGAATACACATCCATCCTGTACTCTGGGAGCTGTAAGAATAGCCATGGTCTCTCTATGTGGATCTATAATGAATGGAGCACATCTATTTGAGATGGATAATCAATGTGGAAATCCTATGTTGTAGGTAAGCTGTTAAAACAGAAATGCTAACTTCATGGGTTTAATGAGTAGCTTGCATGATAGCTTAGTGACAGAGATGGAAAGAAAGGCAAAGGGAGGCGGGGTAGTAAGAAAGAGGAAAATGAGTATTTAATGAATGTCCACTTGCAGATATGAATGTCAGCACCAACATTCTCCTTCCAGGAAAATGTCTTTCAACTGTGCATCGCATTATTGTTCCTATAGCCCATGGTAGCATGGAGATTAAGGCAGAGTCTGTTTCTAAGAAAGCTCTGCTTTACAACATAATAAGATGGAGGTAGGTAATTTGCAGAGATTGCTGGAGCAGTGTTCAAATCTGCAAGCAAACAAATAAACAACAAAGCAGAACAAAAGACTGTTATTAAATAGGAGATAGCTTATAATGAGCCTCGAAGTCACGTATCAGATAGCCAGCTGGCTGGTATTTTCTTATGTTCTTGTTTGCTACTCCACTTTCTCAGCCTTTTAATGGCTCTCATTTTCATCTATTGTACAGAAAATATGAATGAATTATTGAGTCATTGGAGAAGTCATACATTTTTGCATAGAAAAACATGAAAAAATACATCTTGACTTTTCCAATGACCTGGTAGAAACTCTGTCACATGAAGAAATAAGACTAGAGTTCATTATTCAACATTTGCTTAAACATGGGTATATACTATTTCAAGTGCTTTGAGACTAAGAAAACTTGTGTTTTTTTCTTTAAAAAAAAATGTAACTTTTAAAAAATTATGCCAGTGGGTGTGTATGCTTACTGGAGAAAGACAGAGGGAGAGTGAGAAAGCCCCCTCTATGAGGCATGGTCATGCTGCAGTCCCTTCTCCATTTCTCTCTTCTTTCAAGATTTTGAGTACATATACACCCCACCAGGTCTGGATCTCAAACTACATAGTCAACCAAGTGGGATCCAAATACCTTAACCACCATGTACTGGCCAGCCCCCAAATATTCTCTTCATTTAATTTGACTCATAGCTTTTTCTGGATTTGATGGCCATTTTTGCTATATGTTGAGTTGTTAGAAAAGTCATGACACATTGCACAGAAAACAGAAAAATTTGTTTGCCTGATGTCTCCAGGCAAGAAAAATAGACACCTTCTCTTCTAAACAGAAGGTGACTGAGGAAATACAAAAAGTTAAAAATCAAGTTGATTGCTGAAGAAGAGTTATTTCAAATTCAACCGTTAGGACATCACCACCTGTCTATTTTCCTAGGCCTTTACTTCTTGGTGTCTGTCTCCTTTCCTATAAAATGCAAAAGCAGTACCAATCCCTAAATACACATCTGTAAATTAATAGCTAGCAATACATTTCGAACCATGAAAAAGCTGTTTCTAAACATTGATTTCATTTTTGTAGCATTATATACTTTTGCCTGTGATTTGGAGATGTTTGTGTAATTTCTGCTTGTATGATTAATATTTAAAGCCATATTTAAATACAGACTTTGATTATACATACATAGCTGAAACTCTTCTGGGCCTTTAGACAGAAGACCTCAGCGATATATGACACTTACATACATCAGTCAAACACTGACTTCTTCCCTGTTCCTAGTTAACATTTGTTATATGTACTTTGATGGTGAACAACTTGTTGGTGACCTGTGGTAATGTCCCATTGAATGCCAGTTCAGAGCAAGAATCTTGGAGTTGTAGGACTAGGTAAGGAGAATCTTCTTTATTTTATAGATCTTACTTCTGTTTGTATTCTATAGCTAGGATCGAAGGAACTGGCAGGAACCATGGAAAATGTGGAGAAGGAGAAAGGGGGAGGAAATGTTGATGCTATAGACATTTGGCAAAGTGGATTAGAAGAGAGTTTTTCTATGACATTTTCTGCCAGATCCAGAAATCACAACTTAATCCAACAAATTTCTTCCCTTTAAAAAAAGAAAAGACAAATTACAATGGGTTGGCAAATGTGGATGGCCTCTTACTGTAAGATTCTGTATGCCTTCTTGCAAATGCTGAAACAGATTTCCAGTGGACCGTTAATGTACACGAGAATCTATGTCTGTTTTCCTTCATGTGTCTGTCTATGTTTGCATGTGCCTATGCGTGTGGGAGGGGGCTTATAAGGCAGGGTGCTTAAATGCTTTGTTGCATTATGTTAATTCCTCGGCAGTGCAATCAAATTCATGTCGTAATTAAAGCTGTCAGTTGGAAGGCAAGCCAATCGCCACGAAAACACAGCATAACAAATGAAGTGAAATGATTCTGCGTGTAGCTATACAATGCTTCGCCAGGCATGAAATTAAATAAGTAATTTGATGTTGACATCAGAAATTGAAATGATACCCACTGTTCCCTCATTCAGTCAGACCTGCATAAACAATAGCCAGAACAAATATGCACAACAAAGCCCTCTTCTCCACCCAGCTCCCTGAGTAATGTACAATATATATGCAAAATGAGCATAACAGAGCTTTCCGAGACCTGAAGGATGTAATTTTCTTTGGTATACAATAAAATGATATGTATATGGGGGTGGGGAGGTGGGATTGGAAGGGTACTTCTCTTTTTGGGATGAAATACATTTAAAGGAGGGGGAGTGGTGAAATAAACAAATCCCATGGTCTTTCTGAGTACTTTATTCTAAAATGAGTTTACTTCCCAGGGGCTTAACTCCAGGCTGGTGGAAACCTAACTTGACTTTTGTCTTCTGGTCCGTGGAGAGATGTGGGTGTCAGAAACAAGTGATGCTGTCACATGGTTAATCACCAGTAGGAGAAACTGTCTCCATGACTGCTGTGGTTCTCCCTTCATACAGCTTATGGGATCAAGAATGCTGCTTGATTGTTAAAAACTGAGTCCTATGTGCATGATCACACATCTATGGTGCTTCATTCCCCTGAGCCTATTTGATATATTGCAATGAAGAAAGTTCTGCTTTGGGACCAGCAGTTAGCGTAATGGCTATGTCACTGGACTCCCATGTAGTCGACTGCAGTTCATGTCCCAGACCCGGTGGCTTAAAACTCATGCCGGGCGCGTGTGCATGCGTGCCCAAGATCCGGAGAGAAGCATGGAGGAGAAGGGATTGTGGCGTGGCCATCCCCCCTGGGGGGTGATTTCTCACTTTCTGTCTCTCTGTCTGTCTCTATCTGTCTGGCGAGCGCACATGCCTATAGCAAAAACCTCTCAAAAAAAAAAAAATTAAAAAAAAAAAATTCTGCTTTGGAAACTGCAGTTAAGAATGCCCGAATCATACTGTCCCTTCTTGAAGTCCATGGAGTTACAGCAATATATTTCTTTTTTAAACTGTTGATCAAGAAGAGTCGTATCTATTGTAATTTTGGAGATGTCAAATTCTTCGGAATTTTCCCCCATACAATTAATCCATTCATTTATACACAAATTCAGCAAATACTTATTAAATCCCTCCTGCTTGCAAAGTCATTGGGCTAAGCTGAGGAAATAATAATGAATAATCTAGATGGTTCCTGCTACCTGCAGTTTACAGAGTAGAGAGCAGGACATGTGATAGTAGTGGAGAACTAGAAGTGAGCTAATAACCGTTGTATCCAAGTGGAGGTCAGGCTGCTCTGGAATGGTGTAAAACCCGACCCAGCCTTGCCAGGGAAAAGGCCTGACTGGTGCAAGGTGCTTAGTGAGACCTGTACACGGACTCAGTATTAGCTTTATGTTTATTTCAAACTTATTTTGGGGCCTCTCTCAATCACAAAGAGGATGCTAAAAATTGAAAAATTTGAAAGGAGAGGTTTTGGGGAGAAAAAAGAAACTGAGAATACCATATAAACATACCCTTTTTGTCTTCTTTTACCAAATTAATGATGCCCTGTGTTTCTTTCAGAATTATTGTTTTGTTTTTGTTTTTTAGTTCCTTGTATATCAGAGCAATGGCAATCTAAAATGATAATTGTGACTAAAACCTTCAGGAAAAAAAATGGTACTTTTCACTGCTTCCCTTTGCCCACACATTCTTCACATTTTAGTCTACTAATTATGTTTACAAAATGTCTCATTTTTGAAAAGCACTGTGTGGGTACTAACTGATGCCTTTAGGGAATAAACTGGCAAGTAGGTCAGACACTGGAAAAGTCATCTAAACCCACTGGGCTTTTTATTTTCAAGTCAGTCTGGGCTTTTTCCTCTTGCCTGCCCCTTTGCGGCCACAAAACTGAGTAGCTTGAGACCAGGGCACTGAATGTCAGCAAGTCAGGGAGGCAGGCTGATGCGTGTCTGCTTAGTCTCAGTGCAGGGCGAAATGCCATCATTAATTCATTACCCAGCTGCCTGTCAAATAAATTGGCAATTACGTCCACTGCAGAAGCTTGGAATTCAGTAAATAGCACGTTAGCATCTCTGAGTTGTTGAGAGATGTAAAGGGGAAAATTAAGCAACACGGTGTTTGTATCAGGAGCAGATGACAAGGGGCAACAGACACTGGTGATATGATGTAGTGATGAAAAGCCTGCAAAGGGCTGGTAATGAGCTGTGTGGATTGGAACGTGTTAAAAAACCATTGCTGATTTTCCACTTTGTCTTTATGCTTTATTGCAGAGTTCAGCTCCTTCCAGCTTGGGGACAGGCTACTTCGTAAGTCTATCTCAGCTTCCATATATGTGCCTTACATTGGCATTGATTTACTTGTGTAACAAATGCTCATTAGGATGTGAAAAAAAAAATCTAAGAAATTTCCTCTCAGTCCTAAAGAGCAGACTGATTTCCATCTTTTTATTGAGAATTGTTGTATTTTTACAAGGAATAACCTGCTGGGCCTTACGAATCATGTCCATTTGCCTGGTTTTCAGCACTCAGGACATTTGCTTCTTACCTACAGCACAGAGGGATACAGGGACATTTGATTGGCTTGTGCTACCTTTTCTCCTTCATTTTTTTAAAAGTGAGACAGGAAGGAATTCAGATTATGTATTGAGGTATTTATTCACTTTCAAGGTTTTTTGAAGAACTCCCCTACATACACACTGAATAACCTTTTTTTTTTTCCTCCTCTTTTTTGATGAGAGGTAATATCTCTTTTCCCTCAGAGTCTGGGTAGGTAACCTCTAGGTTTTCTTTTAGCAATTTAACTTCTCATTTTAGCAAGTACATATAGAGGTGTTAATATTTTATTTCTGGATATATTGTCTGTCCTTTAGGAGGGGTGGGGCAAGGGAGAAAATACTTTGTATTATCATAATGCTTTTCATCCATAGAGAAATTGGTACTTCATTGACTTTATTGATAGCCAAATTACCCTTTTTGGATTCAGTAATCTTTTTTTCAATATATGAATAAAGAATTATTAATGAACATTATTTATATCTCAAGATAATATATCAATGTAGAAGTTCACTGTAATATTTAAAGGAACCTGGTTGTGTTCTGAATGATGAACATGATGCTATAACACTTAGCATTTCCAGAAAAATAATGAAATCATGAAAATAAACTAAGTGGAGAAGTACTGATTCAGTTTAATCACTTTTAAATTTTTTCTAACATAATAATTACTCTGGTTTTCTTCTGCCTACACACTTCTCTCAGTAAATTTACATTAAATAAGTGAAAATCAAGATTATGTCATTGAATAATGAATCTTTTTTATTTTGAGCATGGAAAAAGTGACATGTTCTAGATGTTGGGCTTTAAAATTTTTATTTATTTATTTATTTATTTACTTATTTATTTTGGTCTTAAGGAATAATATGAGGGGGGAAAGGGTAAAGATGATTTGCTATCTGCTTAATATGTCAGCACTCTTATCCTTATTCCTACTTATTGTGGCTGAATATTCATGCCTGTGGAAACTAGCAGGATACATTCAGTACCCTGCTTCAGCAGTCGAAATAACAGACGTAGTCCCATCTGCCATCTCTTCACACCAGGCTGGATGTGGGTTGAGATGCTGGAAGTAAAATCTGGAGACTGCCGATGTCTGTTTTCCATCCAAAAGCTAAATTCTTCCTCTCTGCTTTCTTCAGCACAAACAAGGCCAAAACCACTACCTTAGCCCTTGATCATTTCTTATCTGAATATTATAGTATTTTATTTTGTCAGTATGATTGCTCTGAAAGAAGGAAGTCATCTCTAGAAACATTGAGAGTTTTCATTATGCTTTCTGTCACTTATTTTTTTCTCTAGTTCAGGAATGCTTATTTTTATTGTCTAATAATACAGTCTTAGGAATAAAGAGTCTTAACTTATGAATCTATAATGATTTTTATACTTATACAACATTGGATGAATGTAAAAGTTTTTCCTTATTTTGGTAAAATTGCTCATAGACTTACTTTGCTTTATATAAAAGTCTATCATATTATTAGCTTACATGGAGAAGATGCATACCAGATGTATGTTCAGCTCTCAACTATGACAAAAATGCCCTACTTAGAATATGTTTCCAATAATGTGATTGTTATGTTATCAGAGTACAAAATCCATTGATGTTTTTGCCAAATTTTCATCAAAAGTGTCTTCTGTTTCAGCTTTCATTCCAACAGTATCACATATAATACTTAATTTCATGTAGTAACTTCAACATTGATGTTTCACACTTTTAAGTGGAAATAATAGGTTCACAACTTTATTAGTTCTTTGTCAACATGTTTTTTGCATTGTACTTTGTGATTTGTAATATTATTATAGTTCTTTACTTATGACTGTAAAGAAGGCAGGTAAGTAGAGTGATGAATTTTCAACTCTATCTGCAATCCTCTTCAGCATCTCTTCAAAATGTGGACAGCGGGAAATCACCTGCAGAGTCAATGAGCTATTAATGCAATTGAACCATTATGTGAGTTCTGGTATAAGAATGCTGGAGGTACTCACCTAATGGATTTAACAATGGAACTATTTTTTTAAATACTCTTTCATACCTCAACATCACTCTAATTTCAGAATCTTCCTTTGTTTAAATTTTATGCTCCTAGAGAGCTTTTATTGAACAGTACTGTTCATTGTGTGTGCTAATCAAATAGACACTCACTTCAATATATGCATTTACATACACACAAATACACCCCCTTAGCCAAAGCTAGTAAGTGTATTGTACTTTCTTTAAGTTCTTTTACTTTATCAATAGGGATAAGTTAAAGGGTTTAAAACAGAGCCTTTGTTTTTGATCGTTTTGTATTTGTTTATATCTCCTTGGTTTTGTGTTCCAAAGATATCTTAGGTCTGTCACTTTTCTAGTTCATTCAAAAGCAGAAGATTTGAGAAATGGGAACAGCAGCTAAAATCAGTATTTACATAAGCATATTGCAAAGAATTCTTAAAGTAGACAAAATAGAGAAGGATTGGAACAAACTTTCCACATTTTCGGGAGCTTTTGAATAATGTGGGTGTTATACACACAGAGAAAGAAACACACACACACACACACACACACATATTCATTTCATACTCATTTCCAGCTTATATTCTAAATATAAAAAGGAAGTATAGACTAGTTGGAATCAATTTGCCTTATTTTTTTTTTTTTTTGGCAAGAATACTGAAACTTGTTGGAGTGTGTATAGAATTTTTCTATTTTTTTTAATTTAAAGGGAAGTCACTATAGTGAACATTTTTCTTTCAATTTAAGTATTTTAGTCTGTATTCTCTCTTAAACATGTATTTGAAGTTTCATTATACATAATGTGTAATTAAGAACTCAGAGGGGAGTGAGCTTTAAGACTAGTCATGTGGCCTTAGGGCAGATTATTTGGCATCTGTATCTGCTTCCTCATCTGTACTTACCTAATAGAGTTGAAAATGTTAAATTAGATATGACAGATAATGCATACAGGATAAAAACTAATAGCATTATAAATAATGCCTTCTGCTAATCACATAATCTGTGTATCATAATGTGGCTATCCAATGTTGGTGATAGAGGATTACCACCCAAAATTAATGATATGAAAGTAGATTTTATAACACATACTTACAAGACAAATATTATCCTTGCATTCTTGTGGTTTTCTCAGGAGCCTAAGATTTTGTGTTTGATCAGCTATATATCAGTTTACTCTGTATGTGAATGTAAAATAAATATGTTGTGTATCCTTTCTGATCCTATATGGTCATGATGTTGTTAGAATGTACTGTTCTGTCAACTGTCCAAGTATTATCATTGTTCACTTTATTTGTTTTTTAAAGTTACTTGTTATTTTCTCCTGTAGTGGCACTTAAAGCACTTGAGACTTTGATGACTGCTTAACAGCTCTTAGACTTGGGCTGGGAGGTTACTGGTACAGTAAGGTTTTTCACAGCATGCAATACAGTATGTAATTATCAAATCACAGATGTAGACATTTCATCTTCTTCAGCATTGAACATTACATTGTGCACCTTTGATAACAGTTCTATGAGTTTATTTTGAAGTATGTGTTGAACAGTGAGTGACAGTTTTTGCTTGACTGTGATACAGCATTTCATAATCAATTCCTCTTGTTTCTATGCATTCTGGTGTCTGCAGTCATTTTCTCCCAAGCCCCTCCTTGTCTCCATGCAGCTTCTGGTATTTACCATTCTCTCTTCTTCAGTGGCATCCAGTCCTTTAGAGTTCACCATAAAGAACAGACCAGTCTTTTAGCTCTCTTTTTTTTTCCCCAACATCGATGTGTATAAATAGGATAAGTATTTTAAAATATTTCACAGCTACAGGAATCTTACTGCTGTGGCCAACTCCATTATGGAGATGAGATGAGGACTTAGGTGCTCCTGCTGATGTAGAGAAATAGCCCTCAGCCCAGCTTCTTGTCTTCTCAACTCTTCTCAATGGCCCCTCAGATTTGGATGGAGAAGAAAAATTAAAAAACAGATACCAAAGGGAAAAAGGATTTTGCAAGCCACTGGATAAGAGAATTGCTAATAGGACTTAAGTTGTAATGTTTAAGATTTGTGATTCTGCTACCCCATAGCTACCTAGATGTCTGTATGTAGAACCACTGCTTTCCATTGGCCTTGCTACCTTTGTTTGCTGTCGTTGAGCTACAGAAATTCAAGGCTGCTTACTAGTCTGCTTCCTGCTCAGTGATCGTCACTCTTCAGTGCCAATGTTGAAAGAAGTCCAGATTTCAATGGAGTGGTGTAGTCTGCCTTTCTTTGAAAGCAGTATATTTATTAATTCATTATTGGTAATGGTATAATTATTAATAATTAATAATATTTACATCATTTGGTTATAGTTAGTATATGGAAACACTGAAGCCGTTGTCAGCTTATTCTGTTCTATAGCCATAGCTAGTGTATCCTATTGGTCATAGAGATGATGTGGTAAAGGTTTTAGCACATTGCATTGAAAATCCCAGAGGGAATGGACAGGTCACTGCCGTGGAAGTCTAAAAATAATTTTATTTTTATTTTCATGGTTTTTTCATAATGCTGGCTTTAGGGAAATTTGTTTCATGCTTACTGTATATTTCTGAATTACAGAAATGTTGCATTAGTTGATATGAGCTATATAAAATAGGCCATAGGAAATGCCAGGCCCCAAGGTTTACTTTGACTACTCAAACTCCCTTCATTTTGATAGATTTGACCGGTCTGGAGTTTTATTGACTATCACTCAGAATCTTTCAGATCAAAGGACTCATTCCTTTGCATAACTGCTTTAAAAAAATATTTTTCCTGAAATTGTAAATTAGATGCCTCCCAATCCATTACATAAGAAACTTATAGCTTGGTGAAACACCAAGAGTATCATTTGAAAAGAGGTTAAAAAACACAACTGGGGCTTGTTAAAGAGGAAAAGTGCTATTTTAACTCCAAGTGTCACATTTTCCTATAGTCAGCTCTAGCAGTAAACAAGAGTTATTGGAGGCTTAGATAGTTTGAGACACTTCACTTATCTCCCAGTACTTGACTTCAGAAACCAAACATTTAAAATGCATTTTGCTTGTGTAAAAATGTTTATTCATTTAAAATATAATGTCATTTTAACAAAAGCACCCTGGTGACAAGCTGTTCAGATACTGCAC